CCAGCTCAAGAAGCAGGCGGCGCTGTCGGGCATCAACGGCGACGCGGAGGGCCACGGCGACGAGGTGGTGTGGGTGCGGCGCCAGGACTTCGTGCCGCCGAGGAAGCTCAACACGGAGCTGTAGCGGCGCCGCGGCCCGGCCGCGCCGCTGGGCTCCGCGCCGGCCTCCGCGCTCCGCATCCCAACCCGGAACACGCTTACGGTCCTGTCTTACGCTACCAAGGGCTTCTGCACCGTTTTATTTATTCTGAGATAATCAGGGGCGGAGGTTTAAACGGGGGGAGAACAGCATCACTGGGAAACAGGTTACTGTGGGTGTCCTGCCTGCGTGCAGCAAACTGGCTTCAGCTATAGCACAAGGTTCAAAGGGTTGGATGGCTGTGAAATGTCAGCCAGAGGCTCATCTCCTGAGCGAGGAAACTGCCTTTTTAACCTGTACAGTCGCAGTATTCTTCCTACTTTTCCCTCTTTCAGTGTAAGAGAATATACGTGTATTTTAGGAATGCGTGAGGAAAAGGTTTGGGATTTATGTTGTGTCGAGTCCTCTTGGTCTGTGGCTGGTCTAACTTACTGTCAATGTTGGAAGCTCTAGTTTTACATGATATTATAAAGATGCCAAACTCTCTTAAAAGAGATCCAAATTTAACACTTGAAGAAATATTTTTTTGTATTTTACCTGAGATGCAGGGGCACAAAGGGATAAGAATTTTACAGTGTTAGCTTAGCTCCAAGTCTAGGATACGAGGCTAGCTTTTTTGCAGAGGGTTAGGAATGGTGGTTTTATATTAAAATATGAACTGGAAACTCTTATTTAGTATAACTTTCTTCAGGAAAAAAAAAGGATTATTGTATATGTTTGAGACTGGAGTTTAGTTAGATAATAAAAATAAAAAAAAAATAAAATATCATGACTGAATTGCAGTGGGCTAAACTGATCCCTGATGTAACTGCACTGGAACTAGTGTGGCAGCATCACGGATTGGTTTGGTCTGCTCTCAGAGTTTGGGCTTAGGGGACAGGGAAATCATGGCCAAAAAACTGACCTCATCCACTTCCCTATTGTGGATGAAACTAGTGTATTTTAATTCCTTTATAAAAGCTTTTCCACTGCAATAGAATATGAACAAGTTCTAAACAAGCAAACCTCTTTCACATTTTGAATCATTTATTTAAGCATCTAAAACAGGGTAAGATGTGACTAAAATCTTGTGGTTTTTAAGTAGATTTCCACATTCAAAACACAAAATAGCACTTTTTTTTTCTTAAAGATTTATATAGCGTTCCCATTTCAGTTTCAGCTATGGAAAAAAAAAGGATTATATGAAAATTTTCTTCTTTTTGTATCTATTGATGTTTGACACATTGGTAGGTACTTTGAAAACCTGAAATTTTTATAATAGCTTTAGGATTATATTTTATAAAATCTGCTCTGACTATATTTTAAAACATAACAAAAATTATTCCCTAAAAAAAAATAAAAAAATAAATCCATCACTGTCTTTGTGTCCCAGCTAGCATTCCCTCTTGCCCTCCTTTTCTGGTTTCTGGTGCACTATACTTGATCTTATGAAAGCTTTCTCTATTAACTTTTTGCTATCTTCTGATTTCGTTTTTTTCCTAAAAGCTTTAGAAAGGTTTCTATACCCTTTGTATTATCACCTCATTGTTTTATATCATCCACCAGTCAGTTGTGTCCCGATGTATTAGAAAAGCAGAGGTTTTAGCTGTCCTGTACTGTACCCAGTGGAACACAGTCCGTTCTGGAATACTGGAAGGCTGGTACTTGAGAGGTACCATGTTCTTGTACATAATGTCACGACATGTCTATGTCAAAGGTTCTTATATATTTCTTTTATAAGCTGAAAGAAGGTCTATTTTTATGTTTTTAGTTCTATGAATGGAACGTTGTAAATGCCTGTCAGAAATAAAAAATACTGGAGAAAAAAAAATGAAGGTGGTGCTGGGTGTTGAGCATGCGTGGCGGGAGAGCTGCCCTTCCCCGCGAGGGCAGGCGGGAAGGGAGGACGTGGCGCTGTGGGGGTCACTGTCCCTGCTTGAGCAGCCCGAGGGGCCTTTGAGTGCCCGGGGTTTCCTCCCTTAGCAGTCCTTGCTCTGCATCCTTCGTGGATGTCCCCTTAGAGCGGGTCCGGTCCGTTGCAGCTTTCAGCAACACGGTTGGGTTTGATTTTGGGCTAAATATCGCCGCCTCCGACCTGCACGGGGTGAGCTTCAGTTTGCCCCTGTGTGAAAGGCTGGTGCAAAAGGGCTGGGCCTCCCTTTCTCTCCTGTTGAAACCAAATGTATCCATTTATGGGGAATATCTGTGTTGGAAACCTTGTTGATCAGTTGGAAAATGGAAAACAAGGCAGACAGGATGGCCAGGTGCTAAAGGCAAGTATTTGACCCCAAGGTGAGTACCTTGCAGCAAAGCAAAGCTTTCCTTCATGAGAAATCAAGAGAAAACCTCCGATTTCCACCTGCCTCCCTTTTCTGTGATTAGCTAGCTGCCAAACTTCTTAACATTCAAGCCACACTTCTCCCCCAATCCCTGAGATTTCCTCAGTTCTCGTGGCACAGGAGTGCAACATGCCACTGCTTGTTTCCGCAAGTACAAATGAGCACAATTCTGAATAGCTACAAAGTTCTGTTTTATACGTTCCCATGCTTTTCGTTAGATGTGTGTTTGTGTTGGTCTCTTCCATAATTCAGTTCTTACTTGCTGCAATAGTGTTCCCAGCAACTGACTTCTTTGGTTTTCAGATCATCTAACAAGCTGCTTACAGAGCTAGTCCTAATACAGTAAGATGGTCTTTATTTTTTTGATACAACTAAACGATACTATGTAATGCAATAGTGTTAAATAGGCAGAAAGCCTCATGCTGCCCCGTGGTTCCTGTATTTTCCCCTGCTGGTCTCTGTTGTTTGTGTAGGCCCTACAGTGAGGCCTGAGCTGTCCAGACTAAGCCCAGTCTTGTTGGGGCAGCACCCCTTAGTCTCAGGGTGAGGAGCTGCTGTGGGCAGGAGGTTGCCCCTAGGTTTCAACCCTACAATGTGGAAGAGATTAGAAAAGTCATTTATTAGGGAGAAAAAGCCCTCTTGTATTCCCGGTGCTGCCAGAGAAGCCTTGCGCAGCTCCTTGGTCGTGCCCACGGTGGAAGAGGCGCAGCAGCCACTCGGTCTCGCGGGGTTTGGAAAGCAGAGGCATCGCTTAGCGATCAGCGTTGTCTTTACCAGCTGCTTTGCTTGCCCCTGTTTCAGAGCAACACAGGAAATAAATACTCTGTTTCTGAGGCTATTACTTTGGCATGTAAAATGTTGAGGATGCGAGCCCGTTGTCTGTGTGTTAAATGTGGCCAGACAATCATGGAGAGAGCAAACAGTGCCACCTCTCCGAGGCTTGTGTTCCTGCTCTCAGAGTCCTACACTGGCAACCTGTTTTCTGTTCCCTTTAATTTTACTCTTAGCAATTGCTGGGGAAGTTCTGCCTTATATTCCTCAGTCCCTTCAGTGGCAAGAGCTGCAACGAAAGAAAGTTCTCAGAAAATTACTTCCTCCATTTCCCATTTTCCTTCAGCCGCAGCCTATCAATAGCAGCCGGCACCTCCGCGGCATATCAGGGCATGAGCCTGAGCAGAATTTTGCAGGGATGAGATCCTGGAGCAGCCGCAGAGCCTGGCTAAACCGTTCCAGCTTGAACACTGAGAAATGGAGGCAGGTGGAGCCCGTGGCGGTTTCGCCGCGATGCTGACGAAATGCTTTCAGGAGGCTGCCCGTGTTTCTCCCTTAGCCTAGATGATGCTTCCTGTTCATTAAGGTAAAGAAATAATCAGCTGTCGTGGAGAACCATGTCTCGTGGCGGAGCAGCAAAGTGATGAGCAAAGTCACTTCTCCGTTTGTTGCTTCTTCAGCAACTGTCAAGTTACTTGCCCATTACATAAATCTGGGAATACACTAATATTGCAGCATCAAATTCATTTTCTCTTTCTGAGTCCTTGTTCCCACTCAGCTTTTTTTTTTTTTCCCCCAGTTGAAGCAAGACGTTTGAGAACAGAAAATGCAGAAATGCAGTCCTAACCCACCATCTTTTGCACATCAGACATAAGGCTACCACAGCCCTTTCTCACAAAGTCGGGGCCACAAGCATCCCAACATACATACAAAATACAGTATTTTCAAGGCAGGCCTGCTTGGGAACGGTTGCCTGCAAGGGACGATAGTGCAGAGGATGCATCCAGCCTCCTGTATACGGCCACCCAGCACCCTGCCTCAAGCAGCACCCGTCAACACGTGTCTAAGGAAGCAAAAGAGCAGAACAAACATCTGTGACGCTTCCCCCGCCACGCTGCCAGCCCTCACGCATTTCCAGAGCGTTTCCAAATTGGATGTGGTCTCTGTGGGTTGGATTTGCTTGCCCAAACAAAGGCACACAGGGCTGTTTTACAGTGCGATGCCTTAACATATCCCGCGCAGAAAGGAAACTGCCTTGATGTATGCAGCACTTCCCATAGCAGTGGCATCTCTTGCGGCAAATTTCATATTTGTTATGTAGCATGGGATTATTCTCAGTTTATGACATTACTAGGTTAATCCGAAGCCTGTGGGAAATCAAAGGCAGCGAATTAAAAGAAAAAAAAAGTAAATAAAAAAGAGAGAAGGGGCATCATGCAGAAGGAGCACATGACTAGAAAATGGCACACGGGCAGTGACAAGCGTCCCGTGTAAGCAGGCCAAATAATTTGCTCCTGGAGAACAACTCCTTGAAATGAGGTCAGTGTCCTGAAATAAAATAAATAAATACAGGACAGAGCTCGACGTGTGTTGCTGTGCCAGGTGAATGTGTCAGCAGGGAATGGCCCAGCCTCTGCGCCAGCTGAGGGTCCCCTTCCCTTCCGAGAGGCCTCTCTCCCCTGTGCACAGCAGGGAACGGGCAGGGAGGGCGGGCGCCTTGCAAGGAGGCCTCGTTTCCACTGCGTGGCCAGACGAGGTCCCTCTTCCCTTACAAATACCAGCCTGGCAAGAGCTGGCGAGTTGCCTCCAATTTTTTTTTCCCATTTATTTAGTTATTTTAATAGCCTGGGGGATTACTTCTTTAATAAAACAAATCTAAAAAAAAAAAAAAAAGAA